TAAAAAGTAACTAAAAACATGGATGGTTTGATGAAGTTCACATTTTAATCATTAGGATTTGCTTTGCATCGCGTAAACAGTAGCAGACTGCTTTTGGTGTCATTCCGACATGGCCTAACTGATTGGGTATCAGCCACTTCATGCAACCCACTTCCCTTCTATCACATTGATTGTCCACAATCTAGGTCATGAGGGTGATTCACATCTTGTTTTCTGTTGACGGAGAGTGTGACATTTAGCCAGCTCTCACAAAAACTGCTGGTTTAATCACCTGTTATCAGTGACACAGAAATAGTTGTGTTGTCAATGATGTGTAGATTTTTGCAACATGACACCTCAATCATGTACATTTGTGTACATGAACACTTAATGTAATATTATGTATGTATGGAACTTAGCAGTCTTTTTTAGTCTCTTCAAAATGCATACATCTGATAAAAACCAATGCTGTATGATACAGTTCGTGGATTTGAAACTTAAGAAGCGCGACAGTTCGTGTACATTCTGTACACATCTATTGCAGGAAGTTTACCCATTAGGATTGAAGTGTAGGAACGCTGCTGAATCCAACAGCAGAAACTTGAAGTCTTTGTTCAGTGAAAAGTTTCACACATCTTAAGTTTGTTCAGGTTTTTCTAGATTTCATGATCAACTTTTTGCAGCCAAAGTTTTTTTTCAACACGATGGAGGTCATTTGGACCAATTTCCTAGAGTCATGCACAGAAACCTGCTATGCACAGACATTATTTACAAGGAAAATAGTGGCTACTTGCCAAAGTTTTATGCAATTTATATTGAATGTAATTGAATTTAAGTTACATGTAACTTGTTTAGCCCAGAAATTTGCCACGTAAATAGTATGTACAGTGTAATACGTTCTCCTCAGAAGCTTCAAAATATTAGGCCCTAATCTAAGAAGATCTACCGGTACCGTACTCTCATTTCTTTTAACAGATTCATTACACAAACTGTAGGTCCGGATTTTACAAGATCTACTCTAGACAAACTTTAAATCTAGAAATGTTGGTATTGTGCAGGTCTCTCATTTGCAGATTTGTGCTGTGTGCCAAGCCGACCTCAAAAAGGTTTGATCTGTGGCTGTCATGGTATGACACTGTCCTCTATGGTATTTCAAAAATGGTTAGCCCTTAATCCTATTGTCAAACAGGACTACTAGACATTACCCATGCTGCAATACCATCGTTGTACAGTAAATACACATTGTACAATAAGTAGCATGCATCCTACACATGTGCATGACTGACTACAGGTGTGCATTGTGACAACGAATACTGCAACCAAACCAAGATCTAAAATCGTAATTCTCAAAATCTGAACTTACTCAATGGCCTGTTTAACTTCAGGAGTATTTGATGGTGTGAACATGCATAAAATGTAACATTAGTAAGTCTGTCCTGAGCTAATATGGCCCATTAGACTGACATTTAAGCCCGCCGCACAAGAGAGCTACGTGCTCAGCAAAAAGTCATTCGAGGCTATTTGATCAGGACGTAGCTCACAAAATATCCCCGTGTGCGCGAAATTTCTGCTGAGTTTTCTGTCTCGCGAGCTATCATGTTTGATTTCTTTCGCCACGCGAGACAAAGAACTCACCATGTGCGGTCAACCTGAGCTACGTGCTGAGCTAAAAAAGATTAAGCTAACTAGCCAATGAAATCACGCATACTCTGTACATGTGATTTTAAGATATTTGTAAGCGAATCTTCTAAAGCCTGCTGGCATTTTGTCCCCATTTTTGTACATAACGCGACTCTCAGCACTTACATGTAGCTCAGGTTGACAGCACATGCCACACAGTGAGTTTTTCACCTCGCATGGCGAAAGAAATCAAGCAGGATAGACATTTGCCTCACGGCCTCAGCAAAACTTCACCGCACACGAGGGTATTTTGTGAGCTACCGATACGTGCTGAGCAAATACGGCCACGAATGACTTTTTGCTCATCACGTATGTAGCTCTCGTGTGCGGTGGCCTTTATTTTCGGTTCCCTGGTATGAAAGGACTTAGATTAGTTCTCACCTGAGTAAACTTGTGAAACTGTTCTTTCAAGCCCTTAAACAACTAAATACAGTGTTAATATTAAAATGTTGGTGAATAGCAAAACCCAAAATTACCTCAGACAACAAACTCAGACAACAACAGTATGAGAGGCCATATTTGCAAGGTGCACAGGTCCTCAAATTCTTAAATACAAGAGACACATCACAACTCATCTGCCATCTTTCATCAGATGACAGGGATAGGGATGTCCCGAATAGGGATAGGGATGTCCCGAGTATTTGAATGGCTTTTTGCTGGTTCGAATATTCAAAAAGGAAAAAACACTACGCACATAGGCCTGCACATAGGCCTGCACACACAACTGTGATGTTACCGTTTTTTAATCTTTAACCCTAACCTTCCCAACTCCATCAAAATACATTACCCCATTTTGGTGGATTTTGGGGGACTTGGTCCTGCAGGCCTAGTTTGACTAAATATTGATGGAGTATGATGGACTTGGGCCTGGAGGCCTAAAGTAAAGCATGCATTGGAAGCAGTGTGAGTGATGGATTTTGGCGGACTTGGTCCAGTACTTAGTAAAAGACAGAAGTCAGATGCCACTTTTTTTTACCACCGGCTCAAAATATCGTTCGCTGCACGTAAATTTAACCGGTGTACTTTTGGCATGCGCAAAACTTGATCAGTGAGTTTGGAATATTCATATATTCGATCAAACGCTGTTTTGAATAATCAACTACTAGAATGCAAATGGGCAGCTCTAGGTGTGTAGAAAGGGACAGGGAAGTTTTGGTCATAGTGAACAACAACCAATGAGAAGGCTGGTTTATATTTCACATGAATTACAGTGCAAAGCGAATTTGTTAGTCTAACGGCAATCGTCACAATGTAACTTCACTTGTTGACTTCATAAAAGCATGAACTACATGTACATGTAGCTGTAGGCCCTCGTCGAAATTACTTGACTACGGCTTACTTCACATGTGTCAAGGAAAGCTGCTGAAGCCACTTGCCATAGACACGTGTTACTGATAACCATAGCCAAGACTGTTGCCTGTCCTTGTTTGGGTCTCCAGTCTACATTTATCACTCATCCAGTTTGGTCAACTGAGGGCGCTGTCATAGTATCATCTCTGGTCTACACACAGAACTGAGTAATGTATTGAATTAGCCTCAACTCAATTCTAAAGTTACAGTTTATATTTAACTGAACCAAAATAAATGTATCTGTTATGCCCAAACTATAAGTTGGGATTGTTTCACTGTAGAAGTGATTCTCTCATCTATAGTTGGGCTGATGTTATTGTTGGGACGTGACGGACCGACGCTTTTTTCAATTCTCAAAATGATCTACACTTCGTGTACACATTTGTAACCATTTAGGCGCCTAATTCTATTGGGCCCCAATAATGTAATTTGCTTCTAATTAATACTCTTCACCATTATTGTGTGTGCAATAACTTGGGGATTGAATGCAAGAACTGTGAAATAAGGAGACCTCGGTGAGAAAAGATAAGACAAAAATGGATGTAAACATTGTCATAGGTGGGCGTGGACACCAGGGAATGTGTTACATTGGTTTATAGTTTATTTCTAGCCCCCGGACCTGTTTTTGAAACTCAATGGTTGTTGAGTATGTAGTGCTGAATGGTAACACATAGCAACCGATGAAAACTGGTGTGCAAATGAATAGATGTTTTCATCGGTTGACATCACTCCACCCCGATCTAGGCGCAGGCTAGACCTGTGAATGCCACGCTGTTGTGTCATTTCGAACCTGGCGAAATCGATCCGCCATTCATAATTTCGTATGCATGTTGAGTACTCACCTAGAAATTTAAATTTGCCTTCCCGCGTGTTCAGGATGTGTCATTTCGACGAAATTTGCCGTCAATGAAGACCCATACATGTACGAACGTGTAGAAATTAAATTTTAGCGTTTACTGGACAAGTACCCAGGGTCATTTGCCAGCAAAATTATCGGAGCCCTCCAAGCTACCCGTCTGCTTCATGTGACGCATATGATCGCGGGCGGCGTCAGACTGGCCAATCACGAGACCACATGATAAAAGGGTGCTAATAATTTGGAATTGCAGTTATGATCCGGACATAAGGAGTCCCTGGAGCGTCAGTGCAATACAAAATTATCCGCAGCATTTATCACGTGGCCTCGTCCAGTAAATCACATGCATTAGGAGGAGGTTGCAGGACGTCGAGATCTTGCCAGATTTTACCTCGAATTTCGTTTAAAATGCAAGATTTGGCATAAAAGCAGATTTCAACATGTTCAAGAAAGCTTGATGTGAGTAGGCCTACTTATCACACGGTAAAGTAATGTTCAGCTTTTGTCACGGAAGGACAATTTCGCTTGGTTCGAAATGGTACAAGAGCGTGGCGTAATTTACAAGCCACGTTCACGGGTCTAGGCGCAGGCCTACGGCAACTTTAATAATTCACAGAACACAATGTTGGCTATGTTTTGGCAAATATGGGTGATTAATATTGCGGTGAAAACAGTTATGATTTACAAATGAAATTACATTAGCAAAATGCACAAATTGGTAAGCTATGTGCGCTTCAATGCAGTCATTTCTGACATGTCTGAGGCAGTTGTCACTGCGTGAAAGTGAAACAATTTTGTGATAAAACACATTTTTTATTCTGCAACCCAAGGCAAATCTATTATACAAACTTGACAAAACTTTCCCAATATTTTGGAAAATGTTTAGGGTTTACAATTATGGGAAGCTTGATAGTTCTGTTGAGGTCTTAAAAACCTTCAAAATCATATACCATGCAAAGCTTAGTATGCATCACTACATACTGTACACACCATTGCATATGAAGTGCACTTCTTAACTTCTTGCCTTCTGAACACAACTTCGCTCAAACTTGTTCCCATTTTCCCACAGAAATTTTAACCCAATACCAACACTCTGAAGACGAAATTCCAACTCAAGTTACTTCTCTGTACTTACCTTTACTCTAAAATGACGGGTTACTTGACCTGTGACCATCAGAAATGGGGGAATTCCGGTGATAATTTGGACGATTCTCGTTGCATTCCTTACTCGTTCTTGTCACTTATCACACATGCATATGTACTGTGTAAACTTACAACAGTGGAAGGGTCAACGTTCTTATGCAAATCTTATCATAAACAACCTCGCGAACCCTCGGGTCAACATTTTCTTGGGCCGTTATTTCAGCCAGTAAACTTTGACCAAAACGGACTGTTTTGCATTGATCGACGAAGGTTTAGTCACCAATGTAGGAAATGTACTTTTTTCAGTCAAAGAATCAAATTTGAAGGATATCAAAAATTCGGTGGAAAAAGTTTCTTCGATGTAGGTCACGGTTCGGATCAGCAGGGGCCAAGCTAAGACGGACGGTGTCAGTTTACAAGATAACGAAAGAGGGCGCTGTAATTAATTACTGGAGTCGATTCGGCAGCGACGTATGGCAGGTGTATAGAATCCGGGCACATTACTCGTGAAGGCCCCCTTCAATGGCGAAGGCATAATCCGTCATGGGGCGTCATTGAAAGGGGCCTGTTTGTGTACAGTGATTGGGTGTAGACAGGTGTATGTGTCAAGATGGCATGCTTCGGAAGGTTGAAAAACGTGTGTTAGTAATTTTCAGTTGAAAATCTTAATTTTGACTGACGCGCTTCTTTGGGAAAAAGTTCTTCACAAAAAAAAATGTATTTTTCTCCAAAAGTATACGTGTTGTTATTGGGATAAGAAAAAAATAACGAATCAATAGGAACGGTAATGCATCTCTCATGCTTCATCGAGGACGGGCATCCCCCTCCATGCAATCAAATGGATGAGAATGAGATGAAAGTTATTATTTTCGGTTTTCGGCGATTTCGCAGACTACCCCCCCCCCCCCAAAAAGAGAAGAATCAGAGTTCAAAGGAATGAAAGTTAAATAAAAATGGCAGAAACTTGGTTTGTCTTGGATGACATTTCCATTGTGTCAACTCAGCCGTTTGGACAGTTCAGTTTGTGATGTTTGGTGACAGGCATTATTATGTTTCTCCCTAGATAACGACCCCGACGACTCAACCACATCGATGGGAAAGTAAACTTGATTATACCTACAGAAATATGAAATGAATTCATCACAACGTCCAGTCCCGCTTCTCAGAGCGATTAGTAGTGTTTTAATTACAGCTGTTCTCTCTGTACTGTCAACCAATAACTGATTGAATTTTTCCCCAGACGAATTTTTAAAAATCGATTGCCCGGGTTATTCCAAGTTTCATCCCAAAAAATATATATTTTGCAACTGCTCAGTTTTCTTATATAGCAACACATAAAAGTTAGTCACTTTTGAATTAGACGTCGAACGAAAAGAAAACAACGACGTTTAGTTACTGAATTATTTCTTTTCAAAATTCGAATTATTAGCGGTCCGACAATATATTTATTCGGCTTTCTCGCAGGGTGGGTTCATTTGTGCGCGAACTGAAAGCCCTTTTCAGAGGATTGCAGACGCCCGGCAAATTGGAAAAAGTAGCTTTCTGTACAAAAAATATACAACTTGACAATTCGTTAGGATAAAAAAAAAACAATATTATGTTTGACGAGCACGGGGTTAATAACCTCTTGTGCCTCTAATATTGTCTTGAGATGGCTGAAACTCGAAATTAGCACGCGTCACGGGGGAGCAATTGGAAAATGTCCCGGCTACCAGATGCTGGAGTATCTTAATATCCCCTTGTACTGTAAGGTAGGGCTCTGCACACGTGAATGTCTAATATTCAGACAAAGAACTTTTGCAGGCCCGTCTTTTTAAAGCAAAGTTGATTTTATGAGTTATATTATTTGCCTTACCAGGTTTTAATAAAGATATTGCGTACTACAGTTGTTGACAGTTTTGAAACAAATATCTGTGTCATTTTCTTTGTTGTTCCAGAACAACAGTCAGAATACACAATAAACTGCTCTTTTTTTGGGACGAAACAGGTTTTTGGGTCATTGCGTTTAAATGGTGATATTCTTCGAATGGATTGGGAAATTTAAGTATTTTTTTCATCTAAATGTAGCTTATGAAATTGGCTTCTCAGTCATTATTATGTTTGGTGCTACAACTTTTTATTTAAATATGAAATATATATTTTTGGGGGTTCGGGTTCCGCTTTTTTTTTACTCGGCACTCTGCAGTCCAATATCCACAGGCGTACCATACGAACAAGAAAAGGTTCATTTTAATGGCAGGTTTGTGAATGCAATGCATTTTCATGTAAAAATAGATAATCTTTTACAGGCGGCAGTGGGTAATTTGTTTTATAACACTGATATGAACAATATGCCTATAGGGCCCTACAATATCGTCAAACACCGATTATTTCTATTTCCAATTTGTTCTGCATGGTTTGGTTGCATAATTAGTTGAATATGTTTAACTTTTAAACTGAGGTTTTTATCGCTGGTGATGTTTGAAGACAATTGTGACGACGATTCTTAAAATCGCATTTTTGGACGAAAGAGGTTTTAGGGTCATTGTGTTTAAATTGTGATATTGTTTGAACGGATTAACCCTAAAAGGGCTGGGACGGAATCCGCCCCACCCCCTCAACTTTTTCCGCGATAGCCTTGATTTTTTTTCGCGACCGGAGCTGTTATGATTTTTAGCCTCGAGTCTTGCGCATCTTTTGATACAAAAAACGGGACCACGCTACGCGCCGTGAAAACTGAATTTTCCCATATACATGTACGTCGTGTACACAGAGCAGAATTACCATTCGTACATGAATAATTAATTAGCCATAATTCCAAAACCCTTTGACCTATAGTCATGAAATTTCTTGGGAATATTCATGATGAGTTGCTCTATGCATGTACCAATTTTCAACATTTTTCGTCACTCGATGGTTGAGATCTTGGGGGGGGGGGCCGGCTGAGAGATGGTCACAAAATAACCCGGCCCTTTTAGGGTTAAGGAATTTCAGTATTTTTTAAATCTTAAAGTAGCTTATGAAATTGGCTTTCCAGTCATTATTATGTTTGGTGCTGCATATTTTAAAGAAATACTTTTGGGGGTTTGGGTTCCGCTTTACTCACCCCGTATAATATAAGCCATCATCATTTCCAAGTATTAATTAAATAATATGGGATGTACATTTGACTCCAGAATTGAGGGACGAACTAACTCATAAGCATAACTTAATATTGGGTGGGGGTGTGGATTTAGAAAGTTGGTGGCAAAACGACTAGTCTAGGTCATCACCCGTTGTCCAACGGGGCCCTCTCTCCGGTCCAACTGCATATGTGCAATAAGGGCATATTAAACATACTACAAAGCGACCGACCTTGGGAAAAGAAATGCTTTCAAATTTACCTTTCTTTACGTGATGAGCATATATCTCGAATTTTACACTGGATATGATTTATATAACGATGCCCCACCACATTTATAGTGTCTTCATATTTATACATCGATTTGAATTACAAATTTCCTTCCACTCTGGGATTTGTTTAAGACATATACCCTAATTATGCCAGACACATGTTATTTTGTTTTCAGCAGTATAATTTGTACTGCCTGTTTATACGAAAATGGACTATAAAGTATGGCCACAATTAATGCACCCCATTCACCCCGAAATTGGCGTTAATTAATGAGTAACACTAACAGTGTCTGGCGTTGACTTGTCGTTGTTTTTAAGCATGCCCGGCTCTATATGAAGTCATGTAATATGAGCCCCAATTTTCCGAATGACTTCAATCTTGTTTTCTTCTTCTCCTTATAATTGCTGCCTTATTATGGTTGAAGATAAACGCACTGACCAAAGTTTTTCGTCTGTGACAAAAGTCCTAGGCCCTCAAACCTTTTTCATTCTTCAGCCAAAATGTAACCGTATCCGAAACGAAACCTAGGTTTGAAATTCGAGACCGAAACGACAACATGCAAATTTAGCTGGTACTCTATTTATCTTCCCACTACTAAATGCAGTATATACATCACGCCTACCAGCATCGTTTATGCAACATGGCGGCGCTCCTGGGTCGAGCAATTTGCAAAATTCCCGGCAACTCTTTGCGGGGTGTTTTGACTCAAAACGTCCTCAATAGATCTCCAGTTATTGCTTGCACAAGGTTTGTAGTTCGAACATATACAATATGTTCACTGATGTGTTAATGTGTTGTTGAAAAGTAGTTTTATCTGGACCTTTTTTTTCAAGCTGCAGGCTGCACATCAGTTCAGTTTGTTAAAATCATGAAAACGTACAATTCCAATTGTGTAATGCATTGTATAGTGTATTGCATCTATAACGTGAAAAAAATGAATACAAGGTTGAACTTGAAGAATTCGGACGCATGTTGCGCTGGATTGACACTTAATTTAAGATTCCAGTCTCTGATTTTTCTTTTCAACTTTTTACCATTAGTCCTAGTAGGCCCTACTGACAAGTAAGATTTGACTTTGTCGTTTGAGGCTTTCCCTTTCCTTTGCATGGTCAGGGTGGAGATACTAAACATGCTAAATAATGAAAGGTTTGCGGAAACACCATGTGCGAATAATTTCTCAACTAAGAGAATGGTTCTGAGTTTATACCTCTGGTTCTTTTCAAAACCATTCTCTTAGTTGAGAAATTATTTGCACATGGTGTTTCTGCAAACCTTTCATTATTTAGTCCTACTGACCTTCGTTGAGATAGGGCCTAGGCTCGGTGCCACTAATTATCTGATTAAAAAGTTGCAACTTGCATCTTGATGCAACTTTCATGACTTTGGCTGCCATTGGACTCACAAAATACAGCTTTAAATGGGCTAGATACAACGGATAAAGAGGCCAAATGATGTTGTTACTGTTGAAATTTTTTCCTTTTTTCGGTTTAAAACAAAAAGAGGCAGCCTGCAAAAAGGAAGCGGGCTGGACGCTAAACATGTTTTGTATTATTTCGCCTAAGTATTTCTTTTAACTAAGTTTTAATTGGTAGGCCTAGGCCTAGTCCGAAAATTTGGGACTCTCAATACTGTGTATGAGAGTCCCAAAACTTAAGGTATCCATATTGTGCAAAAGTTTGTGCTGCATAATAAAACCAGTGTGAATCAAATGTGCAAGCTTCTTACTCACTACAGTTTCTTCAATAATCCCTGAAACTTTTGCCTCTCAAAGTTGCTGTTGTGAGCATTGCCTCACCAAAATTCAGCTTTTAATTCTAATTTTACAGAGAGTTATCAAAATCCAAACGTGAGACATCACGTTGATGTGTGCTGCAATGCATTGTGCAAAAAGACTCCTCAGCTACAACATTTTCATCGTGTAGATAAAACAGCGCCCTCTTGTTGATCAGAGTGAATTCAGAGTTTCATTTTTTAACAGAGGGCGCTATGTTCTTTTGGCCATCGATTAAAAAACCAGTAAGCTGCAAGGCACTAAGTGCATCTACCCAGAATACCTTGTGAATCACATCCTCATCTCCAGATCATGGAGAATGGCGTGGGTGGTTTTTGAACTGCCAAAAACCTGCCTTAAAATTGGATTTAAGGTCTCAAATTTCGCAGGTGACATGCTTACAACTATAGCATTTTGATGTATGTGTTGTGTGGGCATTAATTAGCCGAATGGTGAGTTAAAAAACGTCAGTAGTAATTTTGCACGTTTTCATGCACTCACGGTCCCAGTCTGGCCTAGGCCCTACATCTATGATTTCACACGCACACAGCCTATTGCTTTTTGTTAATTTCAATCTGCTTACTTTTTTTCTGTCAGATATTCCCACTGATAGGCTAAATAACCAATCGTGTGCATTTATTATTTGATTATCTGAATATTGAAATCTAATGCAGACTTTTTCCTCCTTTACGTTTAACTCAGAGGTGCAAAGCAATGGCAGCCAGAAGTCAAGGATGTAGAGCAGTATGCCAAGGCTGTTATGTATCCAGATGAAGTCACATCAAAATGGCCAGCACCCCCCTGGGATGGTAAGAGCTTTGTAGTTTCATTGTCACTGACAGTTTATTGTGAAATCAGCCATCAGTGAGGGTCACTACTCCCAGAACTGTCAGGTTTTACAAACCCTACAGAGCGGCTTTCATTTCATCGTGCGAGGTACATCACTCTCGGAATGAAAGCCACGCTGTAGTTGGTCAAGAGAATTAAAGGGCCCTCAGTCGACAGCAAATGATGACAGACGGTCGAGTGTGAGACTCCTGTGATCCTGGTGAACGAAATTCTGGTAAATTTCACATTTACCCACCCTAGAGGTACCAATCCATATCAAGATAACACTTGTGAAATACTGAGGCCGAACATTTCATGACCGGAGAGTTTGGAGGTTTGAAGAAATTGAGAATTTTCTGCTACAGCAACTTCAATTGGTCTTTCTGAAAGTAGACGGTCACCATGCAATGGGTCTATGGTATTGCTCTGCTTAGAAATCCGTAGTTTTTTTTGTTGTTTTTTTTGCATATGGGCTGATGCGTCAGCAAGAGAGGGCCCTTTATTTACTACTTTTGATGAGAGTTCGCACATGTAGCTCAATGTATGCATGACTTATCTTATTGTGAATGTGCACAAAGCCATAGTGTCTTCACATGAGCGTCAAGCGTCGTTGGTGATGCGTTTAAATGTCACTTCTGATTGTCTCCCCCAACTCTCCCTTTCCTGCCGTTGAGGGGGTACGTGTGCATGGAGCCCATAGAGCCTTTCTCATTTCCATGGAGATTGTAAATAGCACTGAAAAGCACTTACTTCAGAGGCAGAGTTCATTTTAAGTAAGCCATGGATCCTTGTATTAGCCAATCTGTACCTGGATTGTTTCCTGCCGTACAATGTAAGTAGCACAACATTCTGCTAAATGTTAAAACTACACTCTGTTATCTGATCCCAATGACGTTATTATGGCTTTATAAGGGCTCAAAGCATTGAGAAAGCAGTTAACATTTTTACATTTTAAAAATTGTAAATTTTCTGTCATTTCTCAAGATCGTGATAAGATGCCAGAGAAAGACGTGTCTAACCTCATCATCAACTTTGGTCCTCAGCATCCAGCTGCCCACGGTGTGCTTCGTCTTGTCTTAGAACTCAGCGGCGAAGTAAGGCTTTTATCTTCTTGTTCCTGTACTGATGTAATGAACCACTTGCTACTGAAACTTGAAGAAAGTGACAAAGATGAAGCATGTTTGTGATTCATTGTTAGGTTTTGCCATTCACTGACATATGAACACTGTATACTCTGTGTGTTGCCCCCCTGGGTGAAAGTGAGCAAAATCACTCAGCTGGGCTTTCTAGTGCAGGCGTCTTACCACTCGACCACCCGAGCTTGTTGGATCAGTTGGCTGGTTGGATCAGTTGGCTGGTTGGATCAGTTGGCTGGTTGGATCAGTTGGCTGGTTGGATCAGTTGGCTGGTTGGATCAGTTGGCTGGTTGGATCAGTTGGCTGGTTGGATCAGTTGGCTGGTTGGATCAGTTGGCTGGTTGGATCAGTTGGCTGGTTGGATCAGTTGGCTGGTTGGATCAGTTGGCTGGTTGGATCAGTTGGCTGGTTGGATCAGTTGGCTGGTTGGATCAGTCGGCTGGTTGGATCAGTCGGCTGGTTGGATCAGTTGGCTGGTTGGAGTCTGGTTTGTGGTCTTTGTACTTCCACTTTCTTGATTGTCGTTAGCCATATCTGTTTGGTATATGAAGTTTTTATAAATGATATCTTTACTGCCACAGAAGAGGTATAAGACTACCATTGTAGGATACATAGGATATCCTGGGGTTGTAAGATTAAATGCTGCTATAGACAATATTCTTGGTTGGCAATAAGAAGGAATTTGTTTTGTAGCTGGTGAATTTTTATTTTACTTTTCTGTACAGACTGTGATTCGAGCAGACCCCCACATTGGTCTCCTACATCGTGGAACAGAAAAGTTGATTGAATACAAGACGTATCTGCAGGCACTGCCATACTTTGATCGGTTAGACTACGTCTCCATGATGTGTAATGAACAGGGTTACTCACTGGCAGTGGAGAGACTACTGAATATCGACATCCCAGAGAGAGCCAAGTGGATTAGAGGTGAGATATTCAATTTTACTAAAATGGGTATGTGAATATTTTTCTTGTAGATCTTAACTTTCTGCAAAAATGTCAAAGTCCACTTACATATCTGCTAAAAGTAATAGTATTAGCCCCAAGGTGCTATGAAGTGTGTCTTCCAAGTTTCTTGCTTGCTGCATTTTACAAAAAAACAGGGAATAGAGCCGTGTACACCTCATTTCCTCTGCCTGGTATAGGAGTTTTTAGAGATTGTTAGCAATGGACACTTCCCTCATCTTTTCATCTGGTGCAAAACAACATGTTTTTGAAGGTGAAGAAGCACAATGTTCTTAAGAATTTTTCAGGGTAAAGTGGTCTGAATGTGGACATGAAACACAGTATCTCAATCAATGGAACTGTAGAAAAATGGGTTCTAAATTATCATACAAAGTAGTGAATGTAATTCTTGTTATCAAGTGATAAACTTGCAGTGTATCTTTCTCTTTGTATCAGTTTTATTTGCAGAGATCACTCGTATAGCTAACCACGTCATGGCAGTCACTACTCATGCTCTAGATGTTGGAGCTATGACCCCATTTTTCTGGATGTTTGAAGAGAGAGAAAAGGTCAGTCTAACTTCATAATAGTTATTATACCTTGGTAATAACTTTGCAGTTTTTAGTATTTTACAATTCTCAGGCACATGATATGGTAGTCAGATTTGGACTTCATTTTCAGGTTCTGTTGGTTTAGCGTAGTGGTGAGTATGTGGAGTGTCGTGGTCTTGTGGTCTGGAGCATTTAACTCGTGGTCTGTGGGTAATTCTGCACGTAGTTGGTTCGAGTCCAGCCTGGGGTCATGGTGCATGTGCCCTTGGGTAAGGCACTTTGTCACTCATTGCTTCTCCTCATCCAGCAGTAGTTGGGTACCTGTGAGGGCAGACATGGTTGTTGAGATTGATTGTAGTTGCTTTGTGCCGAAATTGCAGTATGGAGCTGTATACTTTCCAGGGAGCTGAGATTGTCTTTAAGAATGTTTCATTGGCCCAATGAGCAGAGTAATAATGATGTAGCGCCTTGAGCACCAATACTGATGGATAAGTTCACTGTATAAATTCAAGGGAAGTAGTGCAAAATAACTGGTTCCAAGGTGTTGACTGATAGGACTTCCTCTTGACGTGCATTTGTAGTTATGCAGATTCAATTCTGCAGTACTTATTGAGCTATTATTATCGGTTCAGTCGGTCCTAAGTCAATGTGATATGTGATTTCTTATTTGTTATTTGCAGACATTTGAGTTTTATGAGAGAGTGTCTGGAGCTAGGATGCATGCAGCATACATCAGACCAGGAGGAGTACAACAGGTGGGTATGGCTGAGGGTTGGAAATTAACAATTGCATCTTACTCTTTGTAATTTGTCTATAGATCAATTAAACCAAACCAAAGAAACTTCTATGCAATTGATTCAGAATGGATATTGGCTGGAAGTCTTGTCGTGATTCAGGCCAATAGGATAGCTCTGCCTGACTCACAAATGACAGTCAGTGAGTGAGTCGGTCAGTGGAAAGTCAGTCAGAGAGGTAAAAAGAGGACAATAGCCTGGCCGTCTTGAACAAGAAAAACTATAAAAGCTCTATGTAAATTGGAGTGCTCAAGTTTGGCTTCATGGAACTTTGACTCCACAAATTGTCTATATTTTTGTAAAAACGAATAATATGTAGAGATTGGAGCAAAGTAAATGTCAATAATGTGTAACAAGGAGGTCTCTGGTGGGAAACTTAAAGATGAAATGTATTAATCTTTGATTGAAATGGAAAACAAAACAGAAATGTTGAATTGCCGTGTACAGTATTAAATGTGTGTTTTGTTTGGGTTTGTGTATCAGGACATGCCGTTAGGATTGATGGACGACATCTACAAATGGGCCAAGAACTTCTCTCTTAGGATTGATGAGCTGGAAGAGGTAACTCCTGAAAAATCTTAGAAAAAATTCTCCAGAAAATATTTCAGACTGTATTAACCCATAAGCATTTGTATTACACTGTTTAACATTGCATGAATCCATTCATGTTGAATCCATAAAGCAATAGAGTGCTGGGGCGGTGTGGGGCGGTACAGTGACTCATGGTTAAATTGCAAAGATGATACATTTATGTATAATTTAAATTCATTGCATTCATTGAACGTTAGTGTTCTGTGATACATGTACATTGTGTTATTTTGATTTTATAGCTAATGTTTAATATGTTATTGTTCTGAGATTTGTCAAGGAAGGTAGCGAAAGGAATTTTGTTAAAAAAGGAATGCCAGGTTGTAAGCCTGGTTCTTTGACTTACCTCTGATATTGGGTGTTCCCTTCAATGTAATTGTTTGCAGTTACTAGGTTATGACATTGTGCTCTAGTAAGCAGGAAGTCGTTGGGGGGGGGGGAGTTTTTTCTTGCGAGCTCTCCGACAGAAACTGATTATACAGTGTCGATAAAAAATTACGTTGGTGAAGGACAAACCCCAGTATTCAAATTTACATAGTATTTACAAATTTACATTTACAAATTCCTTCATACATTATTTTGTTATAGAGCACAATATTTAGTCTCAGCCTTAAACTTTTCTTTCAGTGTTATTATTTTGGAGCATTTACATGAATACTGACATGGTGTACGTTTGTCTTTAGATGCTGACCAATAATCGCATATGGAAGGATCGATTGGTTGATATCGGTGTAGTCACAGCTGAAGATGCTCTCAATTATGGATTCAGGTAGGACACGGAGATCAGGTCGCCTGCTGTGACCTGGGTTCGATTCCCACTCAGGCCAACAAGTGCAATGGGTATCCATTGCCTATTGTCATTACCCAATGACCTAACAACTTTTGCTATGACTCCCATCATGAGGTTTGCTTTGTTCATATCTGATTTAGTGAAAGAATGTTTGTACTGTGTTTCTATAGTTACTTGTTTTATCATTCAATTTTTTTTAAATTTCAAAGCAATATTTATTGTATTTGGGACTGTAGAAATGCACAATGTCCCATTTTTGTAACACTTCCCAAAATGTGCCATGGGTTGAAGTGTTGGATTTTTATGAAATTATTGATTAATATGAAGTTATTGCTCCTCCCATTGAATTGAGTGAAGTAATGTTACGAGTACATAATGACCAATTAAGCCATCACTGAGCAGGTCAAAACTAAAATCAATGTTACTTATTTTTACATTGTCGATTCATAGTACATGTACTTTTTGTGATATGTTGCAGTGGCGTGATGTTGCGAGGCTCGGGTATCAAGTGGGATTTGCGTAAGAATCAACCGTATGAGGTTTACGACCAGACAGAGTTTGATGTTCCTATCGGAACACATGGAGACTGCTACGACAGGTAAAATAATTAAGTCGAAGGTCACATGACGTGGCAGAGACTCACATAATAATATCATTTCTACTGCACACTTCCGTGAAAATTGCGCCTTACATAAAAGCATGGAGAACTAAAGACTTGTGATGACTTTAAGTGGCTTGTGATGACTTGTGATGACTTGTGATGACTTGTGGTGACTTGTGATGACTTGTGATCGACTTGTGATGACTTGTGATTGACTTGTGATGACTTGTGATGACTTGTGATGACTTGTGATTGACTTGTGGTGACTTGTGGTGACTTGTGATGACTTGTGATGACTTGTGATGACTTGTGATGACTTGTGGTGACTTGTGATGACTTGTGATGACTTGTGGTGACTTGTGATGACTTGTGATTGACTTGTGATGACTTGTGGTGACTTGTGATGACTTGTGATGACTTGTGATGACTTGTGATTGACTTGTGGTGACTTGTGATGACTTGTGATGACTTGTGATGACTTGTGATAACTTGTGATGACTTGTGATGACTTGTGATGACTTGTGGTGACTTGTGATCAACTTGTGATGACTTGTGATTGATTTGTGGTGACTTGTGATGACTTGTGATTGCTCTTGACTGACTCAATGACAACTCTCGCTTGCAGGTATCTATGTCGTGTTGAAGAGATGAGACAGAGTCTACGCATCATTGAGCAATGTCTGAACAAGATGCCGGAGGGAGAGGTGAAAGTGGATGATGCTAAAGTCTCACCACCAAAGAGAGCAGAGATGAAGGTAAGAGACATACTCTATGCTCCTGACCTATAGAGGGCGCTATTCAGTGAAATGTTTAGGTGGGATAGGTTAAAGGTTGACAACAAAGTCTAACCACCAAGGGGGCTGAGATGAAGGTAATAGTAATAGGCATACTCTTTGTTCCTGACCGACAGAGGACGCTTCTCGGGGAAATGTTTGAGTATACGTATAAATATATTATACTTCATATGCTACTTTAAGATGTACAATTTTTCACAACAGTGTATTGAAGCAAGCATTGCCATTGCCTGTATGTCTGTGCCCCAGCATATATCAGCTTCAGTATACACCAATAGCTTCAGTGTTTTACCTGCATGTACTTCAAAATTTAGAGGCTCTTCTGCTGGGCAATAAAATAAACTCTGAAGGAATTGGGATCTGAGATGAGTGCAGTATTTCAAACCCAGGTCTCACTGACAGTCACAGGGCTAGGATGGTTTGTTTATTGAAATGTCCATAAGACTAATTCCAACTCGGTGGAATTGAGTAAATTAGAACTTCAACTTACTTGGTTATAGCAGTAATGTCCCCTGCCCTTCACAGCCTATCATACACCACCACACCCTAGCAAAGCATCTAGTACACTGACTGCACATGGCCTGATGGAATTCCATACATGTGGGTGGCAATCAAGGAAAGAATGATTTGAAAGCTTGACTGGTCCACATCCAACTGAGGGGTGTGGTGGGTGTGAGGGACAGGTTGTACCAATAGCAAGGCAGGGAGGAAGGAAAACCTGAGGGGGCATTTGAACCATTAGCGCCTGTACTACATTGTGTTTATTCACTGAAGAATCAATCAAACCATAGAGTGCTTGGGTGGTTTTGGGTGCTTCAGTGATTAATAAGCAGGACGGTTTCGTTCACTACAGTGACAACAGAGATAATTACTTGATTGTGCTAAGTGGTCTTAGACAAGACTGCTTGTATAGACTAGTAATTCTAAATGTATACATTTATAACATGGATAACAGAAATTGACAGAAGCCCGCCTTTGATTTGACCAACCACGGATCCTACACACAAGGATGTAAGACTGTTCTGAGCTCTAGTACAAAATGCAATGAACGGACTTGCTTTATTTGGTTGGACGCATGATAACAGGCCTTAATATCCGTTGGCACGTTAGTGTTCCAGGTATGACCCTTTTTTTTTGTGTGCATGATGTCTAAAACAGAAAATATTCATAAATAAATACTTCAGGATATGAGGGATGGTATTGTGCAGTTTTTGTCGTCATAGATGAAGTATTTACCCGGGAAATAAACGTCAAATGTGACACCTTTTTTGAGGAGAGCACCGTTTACTCAAATATTATTTTAATTAGGCTTTCATTAAAAAGTTTTAGAGAGATGTGGTCCTGAACCAATAAAACATGATAGTTCATTTTAAAGCATAAGATATCTGCGTTAACATGGTTATTTAGTTATCACTTACCAGAATTCATTAATAAAGGCCAAAACATAGGATCATGAATATTCAAAAATATAATTAGCTTGCTTGACAGACTTCGACACCAGATTGGGCGTAGATCCCTGCAAATTTGAAAGCCGCCGTGCGAAGTGAAGCGGGAAGCTGTCTGGGTCTTTGTTGACAAGTATTCATGGTAATTGCCACCTGTACGGGCCGTTATCACGCGTCTAACCACGAGTTTGGCTGAGTCGTTAATCCTTGTGTGTAGGATCCTTAGAACAATCATAGCAGTGAATAATGTTAGACATCAGTCCAACATGTGCGCTTGTGTATGGCTGGAACATGCATTGTGGTATGAGACAGGTGTGCATTGTATGTTGTTACCTACCTGTGCCATAGACGGGGCACCATGGATGGGTCTGTTATACTCATCATTGTCAATTTGGGTCCAACAATAACTATCGTTTGATTATCTTTTCTTGCAGGAATCTATGGAAGCTCTGATTCATCATTTCAAGCTGTACACAGAGGGCTATCAGGTACCGCCAGGGGCTACATACACAGCGATTGAAGCACCTAAGGTAAGCTAATAGATCTGTGCATCACCCTGGCCCTCTAGTGGTCACATAGTAACTATTGGCCTCATTTCAAGCTGTACACAGAGGGCTATCAGGTACCGCCAGGGGCTACATACACAGCGATTGAAGCACCTAAGGTAAGCTAATAGATCTGTGCATCACCCTGGCCCTCTAGTGGTCACGTAGCAAAAATTCCTCAAGTAAATGCCCAGAAAAGGTTAAAGGTCAAAATTTGATTTACCAAAGTGTTGAGTTCGTGGCATTCTTTCCATGGTTGCCATGGTAATTAAACTTTGGAATAATAAACAGGGTGCTGAATTACAGATTCTTTGAAAATTCTCCTTTCAAAGTTTTTCAGAATGGCACCCGACAATGATTCAAACTATGGAAGTAGCTAACCATACTATGGACCCTTCCTAGCCTGTCAATCAAACACTGAACATTGACCAATCAGATCAGGACTGTTGGTCAGGTGACCAGGGTAACTCAGTCAAACTCAGTACCTGTGAGAAATGTACCCAAACCAAAGGTGGGCGGGGCTTATGGCCAAATCTGGAATAGTCTATTGTAATATCAAGTAGCCGACATCATTTTTTTTTTTTAAACCCTATTAGGGTGAGTTTGGTGTGTATCTGGTCTCTGATGGATCCAGTCGACCGTACCGTTGTAAGATCAAAGCTCCAGGATTTGCTCATCTAGCGGGACTGGACATGGTGTCTAAGGGACACATGCTGGCTGATGCAGTAGCTATTATTGGTGAGTTTAGTCATTTAAAGATCAGGTTGGAGAATGTGTAGATCTCATTCAGGCGCAATGGAATACTGCAACTGGGTATTTTATAATTTCATAAACGGTATTGTTTAATTAGCACTCAAACTAAGGGAAAAAAGAAACACATTATAGCATAACTTTATGAGCACAAATGCAGATCACACATGACGTCACAAACATCATTGGTGGTAAAATCACTGTAGTGTGTTCAATATTTGCGAATTCGCAGAGGGAGAGTACTTGTCATGACGGCACGCATTGACAATGGTGGTTGTGGGTTTGGGCAAGCATCTGACATTGTTTGTATTTCTCTCTGCCAGACAGTTAAAAAGCAGTGAAGTTGCTTTACTTGTAATACATCCATACAGAACAAAATTAATTTTTGTGTATTGAAGAGAAACAGTACAATCCTGTTTCACTTATCAAACTGTATCCTGCTGGTTTTTTTTACAGGAACTTTGGATGTTGTGTTTGGAGAGATTGATCGTTAGCTACAGCATTGGAAGAATTATGGGGTTTTGGGGGGTCGTTTTTTTGCAACACAGTGCTAAGCATCACCAGAGTTCAGCATCACCAGAGACATTACACTGCCGTCTATGGCAAAATTAAAGCATTTATATTCTGATGTTGCCATTTTTTAATCAAACTAGGATTATTAAATCAACAAAACCATTACTCACCACTCTTTTTTTTGCCTTTTCAAACTTTAACTTCTCCAATCAATGTCACATTCTTGTATGGATTACATGTATGTGCATAACTTCACCTCTCAGTAAACTATACTGTGTGCACCCATGCTTAGGAGTGCTCCTCTTACCTCAAAAGGCTAAACGTTTGTGCACATTAAACATTTTCAATTGTTTACTAGTTGTGCACCACACTGAATATGGGCTTGTGATATACTCTAGCCTGGGGGTCATAGGTCACAGAGCGTCATCTAGAGATCCAGCATGGAGTACCTTGTGAAACAATTGGAACATGTTTGTTGTTCCTAAGAAGCCCAAAAGTCTGTGTAACAAATGTATATGCAATAAAAACTATAACCTGATTTGCAAAGATTGTGTGGCAGAATAAGAATAGTGATGCTGAAAGTGTAAATATTTATTTCTTACCGGATTTGCTTCTGACTATGCTCCATGACCCTTATTTACATAGGTCATTGTTTAAGTTCAGTGTGCCTCTCTGTGGAAATGAACCAGAATCATAAATTTGCAGTTGGTGTCTCTGACCCCAGGAAGAACTTGTTGATTTTCCAAATATTAAAGTCTTGGATTTCTAATATAGAAGTGAAGTTTCAAACTAAATCTGCTTTTATAGCATCTTGCATTAATTGATCGTTTTACGAACTATAAAACAGAACATATTACCAAAGTTATTAAAATAAGAAGCGAAATGAAGATATGGAAAAATTGGGAATGTTATTGACCCACGCTATTTCCAGGCATGCAACTAGGAATTAAAAAAAAGACGAAATTCCAAACCACACAAGACTTTGTAAAGTGTTTTTCAATTTGTCATGGCATTCATGAGAAATATACAATTTTCATCGCCAATTATCAATCTGACTCGTTTTCGTGGAGAGGCTCTTCATTTGTCATTGGAGAAATTAGAAAACTGGCAAAAGTTTGACGTACAGAATACTTAACATTTGTAAAGACATATTAACTAGAAAAATAAATATGATATTGAATTGTTTGAAAAAAAAACCCAACAAATGTCTATTTTGTCTCAAAATGAGTTCTTTTTCTTTTCCACAAAAAATCGATCTCAAATCTGTCCCTGTAAAAAATCTACATGTATATATATTCAACTGTACACCTCCAAATGGGTGCAATGACATAATGTAGTCTTTGAGGACGGCTTTGTATTCAAACTACTGTATACTTGACATTCTGAATCTAACTGCATGTTAAGGCATACAGTCGACTCTTGTTATAGCAAGGTCGATGGGACTAGCCAAATTACCTCCTTGTAACAAGAATGTTGTTATAAAAGGACAGCAAAACAAAGAAACACAAAAAGAACCTGAGATTTGGGACCTCAGAATTTGCTCTTTATAAGCAGAACCTCTTTATAAAAGTGCTCTTTTTGTTTACCACTAAAAACTAGTGGTCAAAGTGAACAAATAAAAAAGAAAAGAAAAAGAAACACAAAGATAATCTGGCGTGAAACGAATAAATGAAATATGAGGCGTTCTGGCAAAATAAGATGGAATTAGGCAGAGGTGGAAATGAGGATTTGTGGGTATTGGGACAGAACAAAATGTTTGCTGTACATTTTAATTGGACATCCTGTTGACAAGTTTAATACGACTGCTAAAAATTTGTATTTATCAACCCGTCAAAAAATAAAATACTGAGAAAAAGGCCTTCAATGTTTCGAGTTTTGTATTCGTGAAAAAAGAAAGATGCCTTTTGGTTTTTCCCTATAAAAAAAAATTATTCCACAATTCTTATACTATCAATATATATCAATAAATCTGAAAATTGAAACAAATCTCCGTATTTGTTTTTTCCCCTTTTTCTCCACTGTGGCATGTGCCCAGTTCCTTCTCATTTTGCCAGAAATCCTTGCAAATTGTAACTGATGAAATGGCCAAGACAGGGAAAAAGATGCTTTCAAAAAGCCATTTTATCATGTTTCTGCACATTGCATACTAGCAGCATGTAGAGATGATTGTTTCCTATCTTGTTTCCCATCTGAGATACAGAAGCCATCAAAGCTTCACACAGCCCCTGTTTGCCTCGACCAGATCCATCTAGATATGCCCGTATTAAGACCTCCAATCTTAAGATTTCTGTTCATTGATTGGGTAGGCTGAGTCTAGCTCACTACAAACATGACATCAAGTTTATGACAGAAACAAGTCCAACTCTTAAAAGAACCACTCAGCTGAGTTCCTCTATAAGTGTGTGTTTTGCTTTTGTTTTTGCCGGTGGTTTTGTTCCGCCCCATTGCTTCTCAAGAGTTGACTTGGTTGCACTGTGCTGCTCATCCAACAATCTTCTTGATCCTAGAAAAAACCAAGTCATGAAAAGTCACGTTAGAAAAAATATTTTGTCATCCAAGGGGAATGAAATCTCTTGATGAAAGACTAACAAACAAAATGCTTTCTTAAATTGCACAAAAAAAAAAAAATAATGTTGATGTTTGAATTCTGGAACTTATTCAGTTTTCTCAATTTCAAAGCTTTAGAAAAAAAATGGATGGAAACAAATGTGATGAAAATTAACGCAATAAAAATTATTTGCTATGTCAGTATACACTGACCATACTTGAACTCAAAACAATTATCTGAGTATTTGAAATTGAACATATGCCAAATCCTAGATAAGCAGGTCACTTACTGTACATGGCGTCCACTTTAAGCAGCAGGATTCTAGGCTTGTCTTGATTGTCTGTTAACCAAGCCAGAAAGAACTCTAGTTTCTTCTGGCAATTGAAGCAAGTCTTTGGAAGCAGTGACTTGCTCTCTGATGGACCAGCCTTTGATTGCTTGGGGTCTTCTGCATCCCCGTTGATTGGGGACTTCTTGGATTCTATGGAAACAAATTATGAAGAGTTCATCTTAGACAATGCAAACCTCTAATCCACTTTGGCTGCTCCAAACAATTGATGAGAAAGCAGGCGTAGGGAACATCAGATCTTACTTCCCGATTAAGATGAACATAAAATAGCCGCCAGATATTCCTTGGACTAATACAAACATGAAATAGCCATCTACTAACATACCTTTGACAAGTATTTTTTTTTCATAAAGGATCAATGCATCAGATGCTGCTTCTTACAAACATGAAACAGCTGTCTTGTAATTGCTAAGAGAATTACTAACATGAAAACACTTTATAGGCTTACTTTTGACTAGCTGTTTTCTTGCTGCTCCCAATAATTGATGTAAGTCTGATAGAGCTGATTGGACGTAACTGATTGGTGCATCAGATGCTGCTCCGAGGAGAATGTGGACCACGTCTTGAAGAATGGAGGTGGAGAACGTGTTGCTAGTTGACAGCGACTAGAAAAAGAATGAAAACACGGACAAATATTACAAGGCTTTGTTAAACACCTGTTACTTTCAAATATGACTGCACTTCAAGTGCATATTCTAACAATAGGTGGTGTGTTTTATACGCATACAAAATAACAGTGATTGTAGTTACGATTGATGTATCTCTTGGGTTTAAAACATAAAGAGGTTCCATTTTTGTTCAGGCCATAACCTTTTTAAGTTTACCATGTATACAACAAACCCTTCCCCGAGTATGCCGGGTCACTTACATTTTAGGGTGGTTGGCAAATTCTATAAATGAAACTCCCAACTGCCCATGATATTAGAACTATATGGGATCTGAACTGTTTTGCTATAGACTCTCAGCATGTGACTGCTCTCAAGGGAGGGACACATTGCGTCTGTACACCAATTAGCATGAGTACGGTGCAAAGTAACAGCGATTGATTGAATCCTAAATGCGCACACAAACTCTTTGCTCTGTGAGCATCAGTCAAACCGTGACACTAACTTAAAACGTGAAACTACTCTTATTTGGAACCGAATGGGGGGGGGGGGGGGTTCTAATGCATGGAGTCCTTTACTCCAGGAATCTCATATAATGATGAAAATGCTGTTTGCATAGCAATAAAACTATACAATGTACAAATGTATGCCCACCTTTGATGCATTGTGTAGTGCACTTGCCAGGGATTCTTCCGTTCCATTGTAGTTTGCATTGTCACTCAGTGTGGCTGACACTTCAAGTAGGTTCTGTGGAAAGATACAAGGAATTTACCTTCATAGTTGGGTGGTCTGAACACTATACACTACCTGAATTATTACCCCAATTAGTGTGATTAAAGTCTGAATTGACACGGTTTGTCATCGTCACCAACATGAGTGTACTGTTGCCAATTAATTATCTACAATGATTTTCTCATAGACTACCAATTGTAGACGGACACAAAACGGAGGTAAATGATGATAGTAAAGGAAATACCAAAACAATCTTCAGCCGTTATGACTTAAAGAAGCTGCAAAAATTAAAATGAGGCAGAACAGGCGAGCAAGAGGGCCAACGAGTAAGTTGTCCGGCCCCAAATAATGCATTCAACTTGTGACCACTTGATCTTGCTCAGTCCAACTTGGACACACCCATTCAAACTCATCAAACAGCATTATTCTATGTGAAAAATGTCTCAAGTTTGGAGAGGTGTACTTCCTTTCAGTTATAAATAACAAATCCCTGTGCCTAAATTTAACAGATTTCCTTGCATTCCAACAGAAATCTGGACATGTATATGTCCACCCCAAAATATAACATTGTACCTGAGCCACTTGTACTGGTAAGTCGTTGTGTGTTCCATTGTAGAATCTGACTACACATGCATAGCTGTAGCTGATCAGATTACTTCAGAAAAACAACAAGTTGTGAAGAGGTTTCTTTATCTTTCATATTTTAATGCAACAGCTTATTATCTCTGTGCATACAGAGCCCCTTGTGGCTGAAATGAGAATTGTTTTGGTGAAGTTCTGCAAGATTTCTGAAGCGCCACACATGTTATTGACCTTGCTCAAAACTAATATTGCTATGAAAAAATCCACAAGTGAGGGGTTTATGAAATGTAAGACACTTCTTTTTTTTCTTTTCAGCAAGATGGTCATCTGTGATGAATGTCAGTCGTTGAAATCTTAGAAAAATGTAATCACTGTTGAAATATAAAATATATAGAACAATTAAATAAAGTAAAGGATACAGGACATTCAGTAGATTGTACATCACACACTCTGACGGTTTCTTGTTTCGTAGCAAATCACTCAATTTTGGAATCGTCTTGAGAATAGGAGGACAATCGCATGTAGTCGATACTTCCCTCGAAATCTCTTCTTCAGTCGTGTCTTCATCATTCAAACCCAAATCTTTGGCCATTTTGGCCAAATCTACTTCAATCTCATCAGCGTATGATGGTTCTTTGGGCTTTTCTGGGGGCGGAGTTGACTGAGGTAGAGTGGGGGGTGATGGGTCAATTCCGATTTCTTTGACTAAGCTTTGGTCCTATTTCAGAAAAAAAATATAAAGATGAGTAACGATAACATGAATTATATACTGCATTCCGGTGTTGGACGGCGGTCAAGTGTTTCTGTGTGTCTCCAGATATATGCTTTAAAAATTTAGTTGTTTCCTATCAGCACAGACTCTACTTACATTAAACATTTTATAAGACAAATTGCAATGGTGATGAATGGAAAAAGTTGGCAACAAGTATTTTCAGCGTTCTTACCTGAAATTCAGCTTTAGAAAAGCTCTTCACTCATTGTGCACTGTGAGCTGATAATAATGGCTCAAATTTATGTCCACTATAACTGACAAGCCGATATTTTGATTAAAATTATCAGAGTGCACTGTTTTAATTCCTTCCAATTAAGTGAATAAATTTCACGCTCAATCTGTACAGTAACCCTTTCATAGAGTTACTTGAATGGAACTGTGCATCACATTGTATTGACAGAGATGCATTTTGATGACTTACATGTTGTTCCCACCATGCCTTCCAGATGGGCACCAAGTTGCCCAGTCTGCCTGCATGCAACACTGACTCAAACTCTCTCTTCTCTCTCTCAGTCAGTCGCTCCCAGATCACATCAGTATCCTTGTCTGTCCAAGAATATACAGCAAATAAGAAAGGACTGTCAAAGTCAAACTACTGACAGA